AGATGGAAGAAGAGCTCAGATTTTCTGTTCTCCACCTTCAAGCTTTCAGCCATGTCCCCTGACACCATGGAAGAGGAAAACAGTGGTGTTAGAGGTTCATCTATAACCGGGACCTCCAGCAGTTCTGACAAGGCAGGGATGACATTAAATAGACTCTTGTCTGTTCCCCCCCCCCGGTGTGAGGAGGGTGCCAGGTATTCCCCACTGCTTTTGAATAGTATTAAGAAAGGAGGACTGGGGATGTGCCTTTGTGTAACAATAGGCTCGGAGAACAGCAGATTTGTGTCTTGGCTGGTGGATGGACCCAGTTGAGGCTACTGATCACAGCCAATTCTGGCAGAGGTACTTGCCTTGTGGAGCAGCGATTTGAACAACGCTGGGTCAAATAGGTCCACAAAGGGAGGAGGGTCCAGAGAAAGTTCCTCATCCTCCGATAACTATATGCCCATTGGTTCATACTCCTTAGAGCATGACTCTCTGCCTTGAGAGGACTGGCCAGAAGAAATAGAAACCGGATATTCTGGGGCTCCCGCCTGGGAGAAATAAGATGGGGTCATTGATGCCACAGATTCGGTTCTGGGCCTCTGGTGGAGCGAGGAGGCCATACCTTGGGCAACCACCTGGGCGATTAGGGCCTGTAGTTGTTCTGGCCACGCCCCTTGAGATTCTGTGGGTCGGAGCCCAGCTGCTGTGGGCGTGAATGTAGCTGGCCCCGACTGAACCCTAGGTGGGGGAGGAACCCATTGAGGGCGTGGTCCCTGGTTGAGGGCAATCATCTCCTCCTGTCCGGGTCTGGGAAAAGGGAATTGGCTGGTGTCCCCTTCCGGAGACCAGGCTGTTGGACAATTGAACTGGAGGGGGTGAGTTGTGGGCCAAAAACTGAATCCTCAGCTGGAACTGGGGAGGCATGGCCTGTTCACCTTATGCTCAATTTCTGAGCTTTGGAAAACTGTTTTCCCAAGGCCTGGTGTCTCCTGCTAGCCTCCTTCTCAGATGCCTTAGAGGGCCTCTTGCCTGAAATGGCCTTGACCTTGATCTTGAGTTTTCCCACAGCCTCCAGTTTGGAGGGCTTGCGTTTCTTTTGGATGGGAGTGCCGGGGGCACCATGAGCGGTCTGAGGTGCTGCATTGTCTGCCATCACAATGGAGATATCTCAGTGGTGTTCTGAGAGGGATCTCAAGGCAGAGGAGCAGAGTACTGATTTGTGACTGTGTGTCACCACGCTGGAACCAGCAAGTACTCTAGGTAATGCTGGCTGCAGGACCAACTTAATGGACACTTGCACACTCACAATGCTCCTGATGGCTGTAACACCAGTTAATGCACCTTCAGTGCACTGGTCAAGGCTTACTGTGGCGGCTTACTGACAGCCAGCACACACGTAACTCACTTGGTGGCAAGATCACCTCAATGATAACGGCCGATGAACTAGGCCTAGTTGGTGGCGGCAAGGCCAAGAGGCATGGCCAGCACACTTTGCTGTTGCGATAAGTAGAGAAGCACCCTGTTGAGGCCTGGGGCTGTATGATGTTACCTCCTGTGAATGACCATCCACCGTGAACAACTTGGACTTGTGTTTCTTTGTCCAGAAATTGAAGATATTGAGTATCTTTATATGTGTATAAACAGTAGTCTAAAGGCCTGATCTCAATAAGCTGTGAGTACTGCGCAGCCTGAAGGCTGTTACCACAGAAGGCCTCAGGTTCCAATTCCCTATGCAGTGGCTGGGAACAGTCACAGGGGAAGAACCCCCCTCCCCCACTGTTGCTTATTTTTAGCTCTATGGGCCTTCTGGTAATCCTGTTTCAAGCTCCTGTCTGATAATTAAGAGTCCGATGCAAAGTTTGTCTGTCTGTCTCTCTCCCTTTGTCTGTCTCTCTCCCTTTGTATTCAAATGAATGTTAGCGACGCCTAAAATGATAGCCACTACAAAAAATTGCTTTAGGACAGTGAGTGCCGATCAGGAGAACTAGGAGCAACAAAGGAATGCACCCCTTTTGCCAGTTAGTTTCTGGCTGAAGGCAGCAATCCGGCCGTTAGGTGTTACAAGTGGCAGCTGGGAGGACACTAAAAGGATTTTTAGGAAAAAACGGCTCCCCATGCAGTTTTCAAAATGGTGACTGTGCCGAGCACACCGAAGAACGGGACGGTTGCCAGGGGTTTTTCTGAGCCTGCAGCCCAGTCGGCAAGGCCAATAAACCGGCTGCACTGCACTGATCCCAGCAACTGAAAAAATAAAGGGAAACCTGATTTCAGCGATTTAGCCAAATTAAAGAGCGTAAAGCCACGGCTGCAGCTGAATGGGAGAAAGGGGAAAAACCGTTGAGCGGTTTGTCGCAGCGCTGATCCCAGCGTTGCAATAAAAATAGAGGATTCGTGAATGGATGAGAACCATTAAACTTGAACAATGAAGAATAAGTCTGAGAAACTGGAGCCAAATTTTTTATGTCCTTCTGACTGAATAGTATTCTAGCCCAAGAGAGGCGTGGCACATTTGACAGTCTAATTGGGCAGGAAGACAGAATTAACCCCATTCGTGGATTCTCCATCTTCATGCTGGAGAATGACTTATGACCATTTTTCACACTTATGACCATCGCAGCATGCCCAGGGTCATGTGATTTATATTTGGATGCTTGGAAACTGATTCATATTTGATCAGTTGGTCACACATGATGGTCACACTGTCCCAGGGTCATGTGATCTCCTTTTGCAACCTTTTGACAAGCAAAAACTTGATGACCCCAGTCAAAAACTTGATGACCCCACACAAAAAGGAAAAAAGTGATAAAGTACAGGTAGTCCTCGACTTACCCCTGCAGCTTCTGAGGACTCTCTCACGGCAAGTCCTGCACTGCACTTTGGCTTGTTCCCTCCCCCGCTACACTTGGCTAGGGCTGTGCACCACCTGCCAGATGCCAATGTACCACTGGTGGTACTCATACCACTGGTTGAAAAGCCCTGTATTAGACAACTCGTGATCTATTAGGTCATCATTTCAGAGATATTTCCTTACCAGGCATCTCATGCCTTCAACAATGGCAGAGATATACTGGAACGTATTGAACAGGTTTAGAAAGATATTCAGAGCTATATCTCCTTGAAATTCCATGTTGAAATATTTAATGAAATTTTGTATTTTCATAAACTGCCATGCAATAATTTTGTCATAAAATATTTTATAAAATTTGTCAAATTTCAATTCCATGGGAATAACAGATCCTGTATTTTGTAAGTTAGCCTATCTGAGGTACCCTGGTTGAAAATATTTTGCTCCATGATGCATCATTTCATCAAATTAAAAGTTATAGATATGAGAGTTTTAATAACATACAGATAAATCCTTATTATTGGCAATATTCATGTCTTAATGTACACAAATGCTAAGCAATTGAAATATCCACTGCTTCCCAAGTACCTTTTACCTCTAGGTGAGTCAAAAACAGAAGCAGGAACATTTCCTTCCTTGACAGCAAATAGGATGACAAAACTGAACCTGTTCTGTAATGAAAACTGCTTAGTGGATTAAACAAACACAAGCAGACAAAAGAACAGGTTCATTTGACCAGGCAGTCAAAGTTCATTAATACCATTTATATAATCTTTCTAGCTTCAGTTAACTCAGCAAGGTATTTCACAAAATGATAACAATCTCATAAATTGAATAAAATCTCATAACTATTAACAATATGGTCTATTTTTAGCAGGGCACCTAGTACAACTTAATAGCTTGTGAGGAAATGGAAAAGTTTTTTTTAAAAAATGGTCTGACTACACATGCAATTTTCATGTAATAAAGTATATTCAACTAAGATGAGCTGTTCGTTTTAGCAAATGGTCCTCTCTTATTTGTTGTATGGAAATTTGTCCTATTTGATAAGGTAGTGTGATGCTAATACTCTATTTCAGTGGTTCTCAACCTGTGGGTCGGGACTCCATTTGGGGTCAAACGACCATTTCACGGGGGTCGCCAAACAAGGCTGTCCGCCGTTTTTCCCCCTTTTCTTTGGCCACGCCCCTGGCACCCGGTGATGTATAAGTGGTTGGGGGGTCACCACAACATGGGGAACTGTATTATGGGGTCGTGGCATTAGAAAGGTTGAGAACCACTGCTCTATTTGGCTAAATATGCAGTTCCACAAAAGTGTGAAGAATAAGGATTGCAGAAACTCTCAAAACACAGACAGATGAAAATGTCATTTACTAATTATTCTGGACTTGTGATATCATTGACCAAAATTTTTGGATTGTTGCTTTCCCTGAGAATTATAGTTCAGTCATTTTATTTAAATACCATATTTCAATCATATTGTATGATTTAAGGGAGAGATAATTGTTTGGTAGCTTCAGCTCATCCTCAATTGGAGGGGGAGATGATTCTTACCGTAGACAAGGATGAAATTTTCTGTTTTATATTTTTCCCCCCGGTTGATATAGGGACCTTAAACTATTTCAAGCCTGCTTTAGGATGTAATGCATTTAAAGTTGTTGGTATCAATCAATAATTCTTTAAAAATGCAAGAAACCATGGAGTAAGGTAATAGCATCACAATACAAATTCTGCATAGAGCTGAACTCCCTATGAAGGAGGCCTGGGAATATTCTGGTCTATAGATCAGATCAGACTCATGTTATTTCCAGGAAAACCCAACTCACATATGCTTTAATTTCTATTAGCAGGACATTGGAGATCAAAGTTTTCCTTTTATTTCTTTCAATAAGTTTTAGCAAAAAATGCAATAAAGTTAACAAGAGTTTGTGACTTAAAAAAAATGGAAAATAAGTTTCAGTAGTACTGAAAGCAATATGGAGGAGTGCCTTACCATGAATAGGGAGAATATGTGCATCAATGTCTTGTTTTCTTCATAATACAGCTAATAAATATTTATTTTTCACTGTTTCAATCTTTATACCAGTTTTAGAATAATAATCAATTGTATGAAGTAAAGGAAAAATGTTGAGTTGAGTAAGATTGCCGCTTGTATAATATGTTTCATTACCTGTTTATAAAGTAACTGCTCATTTTCCCGAGCGTAACAGAAGAGAATGTCCGTAAGAATTTTCCTCACATTTTCTTCCTGGAAATACTGCATTTCAGGAAAGCTGATTAACAACAACAACAAAAAAAACCTAATATAAATGATAGAGCTCAAAATGATTTAGGATTACAATAGGTTTCAATTATTCAATTCTTTCTTTTTTATTTAATGAAACTCCAGTGAGTATACTACTCATTCAGAGTGCTCTGTCACCATATACAAGAATATTTCTGGTATAGATTATGAATTGATTTATTTATTTTATATAATACCACACTCCATATGGATTCCAGAAGGTGATTTATTTGAGCTAAAGCCAAAAAATAGCAGTGAAGAAGAAATATCTATGATAGTGGTTCTCAACCTGTGGGTCGGGACTCCATTTGGGGTCGAACGACCATTTCACAGGGGTCGCCAAACAATGCAGTCCGCCATTTTTTCCCCCTTTTCCTTAGCTGTGCTACTTCCTTTTATTCTATTGGCTTTTGAAAGCCAATAGAATAGACTCTCTTGAATAGAGTCTATTGGCTTTCAAAAGCCAATAGGAATTGTCCAGGCTGTCTCTGCCCTGCTGAGCCCACCAAAAGTCCTATTCTGCAAAGGGTGCTGCACCAATTGAGTAGTCCTCGACTTATGACCGGTTGAGTAGTCCTCAACTTACGACCGGTTGGGGGTCGCGGCATTAAAAAGGTTGAGAACCACTGGTCTATGAGATTGCAATGCAGAATTATGGGAGCCTGTTTACAGTAATATGGAAGCAGGTTTAGCAGAAATCAATAGAATGTGCTACAAGAAAAACAAAATCAAAGAATAAAGCAGAAAACATACTGAGATTATTATTCATGTATATCCTCCCATTTTCTCTTAAGTTTCAATCATTCTAATCCTGTCTAGTGAGAAAATATAACACTAAAATTAGAAATGAACAGGGTAATTCATTCAGGTGGCAATATGCAACCACCTAAGATACATGCACTAACAGCACTTTAAAAAAAAAAAACCAAAAAAAAAAAAAACCACACATTTTTCCTAAATATACCATGCACTTTGTCAAAGTAATAGTGCAATATTTTTACAATGGCTCTAAAACTAGCAAAACTATCTTTATTCAAATTTTAATTCCCCAATTATAACTTAGATATTTATATAATCTTAAACATTCTGAACTATTCCCCTTTAAAAACAAAAAATACCATCTGCGAATATTTACATGAAAGCATACTCGGATTTTAATTATACATCTAACAGCATAAATATATCAGAAACTCAGCTTCAGTATAGGCACACAATATAAAGCAAGAAGAAATGTCAATATTTCCTGGGCATTGTTTTGTTTCTTTTGCCTATTAATTCTATAAATAGAAAAAGGTATCATGCTGAGCTGCATTTTAAAATCCATAGGAACTATTTTCTTATCCCAAATTTCAGTATAGAATTATGCTATAATCATAACAGAAAGATACTAGACAAATAGTAATTGAGCTTAATTGGAATTACTTAATGCAATCAGAGTTCTCTCTCTGACAAAATATTTTCCGGATCTGAATTCTAGCTTTGATAAGTTCCTTAACAGGAATGACCCAGGGCTACGGAGATGAAAGTACATTCACAATGATAATAAGGAATACTTAAAGAAGGAATCTTTGACAGTAGGAAAGTTATCCACAAAAATAGCAATGCTAAATTCCTCTAGATGAATGACATTTCTCACTAATTACACATTACTTTTTATTGATTAAGTGTTGGGAATTACAGAAAATCATCTGTTCAATCTTGTATTATAAACATAATTTAATCACAAGATCTGTGAGTTCCTCTCATTCTTTTTTATTTCTCACAGAAACTCTTTTAAAATACATATAATTATATTTTAATGTAACATATAGTACTGATTTATAATAATTCCAATTACGTGAAAAGGCAAATTAGAAAATAAAAAATGTTTGGCTATGCAGGATAGGCAATCTGGTGCTCTGAGCAACAATGCATCTGTGGATCTCTCCCAGCATCTCTGCCTCATATGATTTTAATATTCTTTATGTTTGCAAAAGACAGCTAGTGGCTATGTTGCATAAAATGTCAACTTCTATAATAAACTGTAATAAACTCATATAAAATAAAAATATCTGACAGAAAAAAAGCTATGGTAAACCAGGGTAGTAAAGAAAAAATAGAAGACTGTAGAGGATTTAACAAAACATCACTAATTTATATAGTGGGTAATTGACATCTTATAACTGGTTATACCCCTCATTCTTCATGGAAGTCCTTTTAGGACAAGCCAGGTTGCTGATGATATCTACTGTTTTTCAGAAGTACATGTTTAAAAATCCCTAATTATTCCATGAATCAAAAAAGATTGTATGAAATTGACCTTTTTTGTTTTACTGAAATCATATATTTAAATTAAGAGGAAGTAGCTGCTATTATTTCAGGCACAGAAGGAAAAGCATATAAGGTTTAGTGCTACAATATGACCAGTAGGCCAACTTTTCTTCAAACCCATATAAGTGCTGACTGGTAGTGATAGCTATCTACATCTACATAGGCCTAAACTGGGAAATGTATTCCAAAGATACAAAATGTAAATGTAAATTATAAAATATTTAATAATGATGCTTACGTTCGTTTTACATCTTGTTCAATCATTCCTCGAAGTTCTTTGTCCTGAAAAAATCTGTTCCAAAGACTCTGCAAAAGGATAAATTATTATTTGAAAGATGATCAATGATGATAGACTACATCAGGGATAGAAATCCTCCAGATATGAAATGGTAGGGCATACAATATCTATGTAGTTGCTAAAAGTCAAAAATAACTTGATAATCAATAGAATAGGCCAGTGGTGGCGAACATATGGCACGGGTGCCAGAGGCGGCACTCAGAGCCCTCTCTGTGGGCACATGTGCCATTACCCCAGCCTCGCCTCCCCCCATGACCTCCTTCTCTCCAGCAGCCCCCCTGAAGGAGAGTCGCCCCTGAGCGTGGCTCACACGGAGCAGCACAGCCAAGGATATGGCAGCCAGGCAGCGTAGACAAGATTCTGTCCTCACACCCAATCGTGCACAGTTGATGCTGCAGGATGTGGGCAGAGGGTGTGATCGCCATAGCGCTGCTGGGCTGTCTGGCGATCTGTGGCGGGCCCTAGAGGTGGAGAGTGGCCCTGTGAGCAGCGGGGCAGGGGATGGGGGTGGAGCAGGGGCGTGGCCAGTTTTTGGGCACTTGGTCTCTAAAAGATTTGCCATCACTGGAATAAGTCATCCTATTTTGCACATAGAAATCATTTTTTCTATTTAGACCCCGTCTATTAAAACCAGGGCTTTTTTTGTCATAGAACGCCCAGAACAGAGTTCTGGCACCTTTTTTGGATGGCACCTTGCAGGGTAGGCAAGGTGAGTTGTATGACATGTGTGAGTTCTAGTACTTTTTTTTTTTTTCAAAAAAAGCACTGATTAAAACCCAGATAAAACATCTTCTTCAATCAGAGCCACAACTATGTCTGTCATAATGCTTACAATGTTTTTCTGAAAATCAAACATTACAACCCTGAATTATATGATTTGCAAAAATTGCAAATATCCCCCTACTGTTTGCTAGAAAGAATGAATTATCTCCAAAGAATAACCTTTGGGATTTTAGCTAATAAACTGCCTGCTATTATTACAATTTTAAAGTATGTCTGCACATATAGTGTACGTGCATGTATATATGCGCATACATACTGCATCCATATATGTATATCTATATATTTATGTAGATATATATGTGCCTTTTATCTAATCCTTTCTTCCAGCTGCTGATACTATTGCACAATTGTTTTGTCCTGGAATAAAACAGCATGACTGTTTTGTTCAGGAAAATTTATCTGTAATTTTAGCTATAATTTTTTTTATTTTAATATTTCAGATTTTGGTTTTCCTAAGCTTTTATCATAACACCCTTCCTTCCTTCCCTCTCTCTCACTTACATCAAAGTGAGCAAAAATTAAATTTTCTCTAAAACACTGTGACTCTTAACTGATCAGATTCACAGATGACATCACCGTATAAATATGGTTCATGTTCTTCAATGCAGAAAATCATACTGTACTACAATCTCCAACTGGATCTACATCACAACAAGAAATTGAAGGCTTGTTGTAATCTTATTATAATCTCTTATGTGGCAAATATAATAGCCTTAATAACGCCTAAAAAGAATTATAGCAAAGGCTTGAACATAATTTTATAAAGTTTGTACGGTTTTCTGTTTGTCTTTCCTTACTCTCATTCAGTAACAGGAAAACTGTTTAATATTATTATTTTTATTCATTGACTATAGTTGTTATTTAAAAAGACAAAATATATTTCATTGGTAAGAATGAAAACTTGCTCAGTAGTGGTGTTAGGTTCTAAAATTAAGCAAATGGTTTGAAAAACAACAAAAAGGTTAAAAAGTTATCAAATGTTTCTGGTTACATGCCATTTTTATAGTAATAAATTGCTATAAAGGCAATCAATCTCTATCTCCATCTCTCTAATATGAAACACTATTCAACAGGCAACATACCAGCATTATTGATTACACTTCATATTCACTAGAATAATTAATCATAGTATATTCAGGTTTTTTTTTAAAAAAAAAACCTGCCGAAATGTTTAAATAAAAAAGCTGATGACTAAATTTATTTTAAATGAATAAGAACAGGTGGCAACTCTGAGAGAATGAAACAAAGTCCTTGCTCTGATCTCTTGCTCATCAAGGCTCTATCAGTAAAAAATGAATACAGAGCAGAGAATCTTCATCCCTGTTTTCTCTTTAAGGGCTGGCACATCAAGGGCATTTGATTACTTCAATAGTAGACTTCAAGGAAAATTTGAAGAGCATGATCATAAAGAACTCCACTATTCTAAAAATGAAAACTTTATATATAGCCCACATACCACTTTTATTTATGCTAGCTAAAGATGACATTTAATAGTGATATAATAATAATAATGAGTGGATGGATGGATGGCCTGATGGAAATAAATGGGAAGAAATTGGTTCAGTTATTTTGATTCTGAGAAGATGGAGATACAGCATCAATAATGAACTATAACAATAATTATATTCCAATTTCTAAAAGAATATTTTAAAAAACGAGTTGCACCTGCTATAAGTGGATATCTATCACTGAACAATTCCCTCTAAATAGCCATAACAAATTCTAATGTTAATAGCTAAAGTTACAAATAATTTCAGCTAAAAATATTTCAAAATTGAGCTGGGTAATTTTCACAAGTTTAGAACACTGAATATATTACAGCTTTATATGTTTTTTCTTCTTAGTCCTTATATGCATAGAGCAGGGGTAGGCAACCCAAAACACTCAAAGAGCCACTTGGACCCGTTTCCCACCAAAAACAAAACACTGGGAGCCGCAAAACCCTTTTGACATCTAAAAGGAAGATAACACTGCATATATCCTTTTTTACCGTATATGAATTGGGTATGTCTAGTTTAGCAAAGAGAAGGACAAGGGGGGACATGATAGCAGTATTCCAATATATCAGGGGCTGCCATAAAGAAGAGGGAATCAAGCTATTTTCCAAAGCACCTGAAGGCAGGACAAGAAGCAACGGGTGGAAACTAATCAAGGAGAGAAGCAACCTAGAACTAAGGAGAACTTCCTGACAGTGAGAACAATTAATCAGTGGAACAGCCTGCCTCCAGAAGCAGTAAATGCTCCAATACTGGAAGTTTTTAAGAAGAGACTGGACAGCCATTTGTCCAAAATGGTGTAGGGTTTCCTGCCTGAGCAGGGGGTTGGACTAGATGACCTCCAAGATCCCTTCCAACTTTACTACGTATGTATGTATGTATGTATGTATGTATGTATGTATGTATGTATGTATGTATGTATCTATCTATCTATCTATCTATCTATCTATCTATCTATCTATCTATCTATCTATCTATCTATCTATCTATCTTTTCTGAGGTTTTCGCGGGTGTTTGTATGTAGGTCTTTGGTTATTCGGGTTTTCTCCTGCGTCAAATTGGAAAATTGCTCCTAGAAGCACGAAGCAGAAAACACCAGCCTGAAGATGATGAATAAGACTACGTCGAAACGTCACCGTCGAAACGTCACCAAGACACTTCCAATACGACGCGGGAGAAAACCCGAATAACCAAAGACCTATATATATATATATATATAATTAACCTAAAAATTGAGGAACGTAGTCTCCTGGGTGTATACATATTCAAAAGATGAGCACCAGGAGATAAAACAATTAAATGTTTAATAAATAGATAACCTAGCTTTCGATGGCTGTATTGCTGCCATCATCATCAGGGTGTTAAAAGCCAGAGGGTGGGGGAGCTCGTTTATAAGCACAAACGTGCATGCACATGGCTCATAGACCTCATTATGGGGCCTGGTCGGTTGATCCTCCCATCACTCATGGCAGATGTATTTCTGAGTTCTAAGTTCCTGCAGCTGATTACTTCTCTGTTGCGCGCGGTTCCTAAGCTGAGAGGCGAGCATTCCATGTTACTTTGCACCAGAGTGACCTGTGTAACTGCAGACCGATCCTGCGATGAAATCCCGGATCCGGCTATCTCCCTCCCCCGTGTCCGATGTAGCACTTTCCGGGGGCATGCTACCCCAACCGTGCTCCCATCTTCTCCTATAACTCCCAACCCACCACCCTTCCGTTCATGGAATGCACAGCAGTTCGTTACGATCTTCGTTCCTGTCAGTTTGGCGTCCGATTCAACTCCTCCCCCCCATTCTTGAGGTGAAACAAGACAGCTCTCCTCACGGCGACTTTGGTGCTTGCGTTTTGGATGATCTGCTTACTGTACCTGGCCTGGATGCCTGTTTGAAGATGGGAACCCCTGGAGTGGATGATGACTGCAACCGTCCCATTAAGGGTCCCATCACGTGTTCCCAAGTAGCACGGTGGACGCGTGAGGGCGCACGCGCGAAGACCGCAGTTGGAATTTCCTCCGAGGGGAGAGTTGACTCAGACGCCAAACTGACAGGAACGAAGATCGTAATGAACTGCTGTGCATTCCATGCACGGAAGGGCGGTGAGTTGGGGGCTATAGGGGAAGATGGGAGCACGAATGGGGTAGCATGCCCCCGGAGAGTGATACGTCGGACACGGGGAGGGAGATAGCTGGATCTGGGATTTCATCGCAGGATCGGTCTGCAGTTACACAGGTCACTCTGGTGCAAAGTAACATGGAATGCTCGCCTCCCAGCTTAGGAACCGTGCGCAACAGAGAAGTAATCAGCTGCAGGAACTTAGAACTCAGAAATACATCTGACATGAGTGATGGGAGGATCAATCGACCGGGCCCCATAACGAGGTCTATGAGCCGTGTGCAGGCGCGTTTGTGCTTATAAACGAGCTCCCCCACCCTCTGGCTTTTAACACCCTGACGATGATGGCAGCAATACAGCCATTGCAAGTTAGGTTATCTATTTATTAAACATTTAATTGTTTTATCTCCTGGTGCTCATCTTTATCTTTTGAATATATATATATATATATATATATATATATATATATATATATATATATATATATATATTAAGAATATTAAAAACAAAACAATGATTCCTGGGTAGACTCATATTAAACAATAAAATATACGAACACCAGGAAGTTATAAAACTATAAAAAGTTTTAATAAAACCAGAATAAAACCAAGCTTTC